CCACTCTTTGTCCAAAAAGACTGGTGCAGGGCAGACGCAGGCCAGAAAGCAAGTTCTTCTCTCGAGGGGAGCATGTGTGGCTGGGCGTGGAAGTCAGAAAAGAGAGGGAAGCCTTAAACTGAGACAGATGTGACAGACGGTTCCCCCCTGTCTCCTTCCCTCTCTCAGATGTCTCTCGTCTACTGCCTTCCTAGGGTGTATTGTGAACTTTGCACAAAGTCTCATCTAGCTGTTTGCAGGATTCTCATCTGCCTTGAAGACTCGCTCTCACCCACTTCCTTCCTCCTTCCCTCCCTAGTCCAAAATGTCTGTAGATAGCAACTTCCCAAACCATTTCAAACCTGTTGTGAAAATTCAGTTTCAGGTCTGGGGTGCCCAGATGTGCTGCAGCTCCCAAGTATCACCACCGGTTTTCCAAGATTGTCCTCAAACAGACAAGGGGCAGCTATGGTGATTTGCAGGGACCACAGAATGTCTAGGTCAGACTCCCCAAAGCACCTGCCTTTCATGTAGCGTTTCCATGGGGTTTGCACCTGCCAGCCACCTCTCCCGTTACCTGTGCGACCAGTGTCATGCAGACGTGCCACCGCAGATATGAAAGACTGCGACTTCATGCTTGCCTTCCTCTGCCCCTTTATGATTTAGTCGCTGAGGGGGCTCCCGCCTCCTCTCCACTCCCAGTAACCCACACATCTATCTTCATTCAGAGGCAACACTGCATCTGCTCCTTTTCTCGCTCACCTCTTTCCAGGCTGCAGGAGGAGATGTAAGGGACAGTAGAAGGGTCCCTACTGGGACAGGGGCTGGTCTGCTGTGCATCTCGGGCCTGGCAAACACTTAAAGATGCTTTCTTTGTGAGGACCTTTGCTGGGGGTTCCTGTACTGTGCCCTGGGACAGGTGCCTATGATACGGGCATCACGATTTTCTTTTCACTGCCAAGTCCAGGCCCCCTCATCGGCTGCCAGTTTTCTGCTGTCCACCTTCCTGGTTATCACTCCAGCAACCCCTCAGGATCTTTTTGGCTCTGGCTAACTAACTGCAAGATGTTTTTCTTGGGGACCAGCAGATGGTGTAATGGTGATGTCACTGGACTCCCAATGTAGTCAACTGCAGTTCGAGTACCAGACCTGACAGCTTATAACTCATGCCAGGTTTGTGTGCATGTGTGCCCAAAATCCCAAGGGGAGAATGGAGGAGAAGGGATTGCACGATGGCTACCCACCCCCCATTGGGGCTTATTTCTTGCTTTCTGTCTCTCTGTCTCTAGCAAGCGCACGCACCCTATAGCAAAAAAAATCTCTTAAAAAAAAAAAAAAAAGATGTTTTTCTTGTACATTCCATCTGCCCTGGGAGAGCAAGAAGGCAGTCGTCCCATCCTGCAGAGCAGCAGCCTCTGTGTCTCAGGCTTCTCCCACCCAACCAGCCAGTCCCTCTCCTTCCAGCTGCCTCCTGCAGGCCTCAAACACATCTTCTCTCCCTTCCCTAACGCCCAAGACCCAGGACACATTTAGAAATCTTTTTTTTTTTTTTTTTGAGAGGTTTTCGCTATAGGGCGCGTGCGTTCGCCAGACAGACAGAGAGACATAGAGACAGAAAGCGAGAAATCACCCCCCAGGGGGGATGGTCACACCGCAATCCCTTCTCCTCCATTCTCCTCTCGGGATCTTGGGCACGCACGCACACGCGCCCGGCGTGAGATTTAAGCCACCGGGTCCGAGACACGAACCGCGGTCGACTACGTGAGAGTCCAGCGACATAGCCATTATGCTAACTGCTGGTTCCCACATTTAGAAATCTTGATCTGCCAGGAGTGATAAGAATCATGGAATGGGCTCTCAATTCCTTTGTAAACCCTGTGCTGTGGCCTGACCCCTCAATGTGGCATGCAGTGGCTCCCGTGTCCTGGCGTCCAGGTGGGAATTGAGGTTTTAACACTCTCTTACACTCACTCACAACATTGTTCTTTTGCCACCTCTCTGGAGGACTAGATATCCAAAGCCACATAAACCTCCACCCTGACTCTTCCTTTCTGTGGTGCCACAGGCCCTCCTAGCACATTACTGTGGCTCTGTCTCCGTGTCTCTATGGAGGAATGGCCAAGTTCTCTGTGTCTGTTTGTGGGGGCCTGCCCAAGATTCCTTGCTAATGGTTCACACTGTGTGTGGTTGATCTTCCCAGCAAGACCCCTGCTGTGCCTTCAACTCAGCAGCAAACTGGACAAGAGGGGTCCACAGGGGACGTGGAAGTACTCCTGATAGAATGGCCCATGCCACAGGGTCGTGAGCACCCACTCTTCTGGGTAATTTCATCACAATTTACCTTCGCAGTGAAGTCCTTCCTGGCCCCTCAGGAAAACCTTAAACCTCATCTTCAAGGTTTCGATTCCCAGAGCAAGATGGTGGTATAGAAGTAAATCATGATGCCCTGTGAGGCAATCCCATGTAGGAAGGGTCTTGTTCAAGTCCAGAGACCTCCCTAAGTATGTTTGGTTTGCCTGTGATCCTGAGCTGGCTAAATACTGAGGGTGGGTTGTGGCATGGAGACCCAGCTGGGGTGCTGTCTCTGTCTTTCTGTCTTGCTCATAGAAAAAAAGAGAGAATCTTTATGAAAGGAAAAAAAAAAAAACGCTTTTAAACTTTTGATTCTCTTTTCCTGCTTTATCTATATCAACATGTTAAATAGTTTACTTATTTGTGTTGTGTTGTATCTGTCCTCCTACCAAAAATGTAAATTCCAAGAGAGACTTTTGACTTCGTTCTTCACAGTTCTACTCTCAAAGAACAGCGACTGGCACTTAGCAGGCACCCAGTTAATGCTTGTTGAATAAATGCACTTCTGTTTGGAGGAGTGGGTGCATAAATGAGTGTGCTCTTTGATAGAAAGGTTATTGGAAAAGGGGAGGGCATAAACACATTTAAGATGCACTATCAGCCCCATGGTGGTTAAGGGCACCAGATCCTACACGGCCAATCGTATAGTTTGAATCCTAGCCCTGGTGACATTCCACGTGTATGTGTGTGCATGCCCGAAATCCTGAGATGGAGAGATGGACGAAAAGGGACTGTGGTATGACACCCGCCCCCCCCGGTGGGGAGGAGGGGCTTTCTGTCTTTCTCTGATTGTCTCTGGTGAGTGCACACACCCTCTGGAAAAATAAAAAAGTTATATTATCATCAACTGAAGACTTTTTTCTTGACTTAATCACAATTGATGAAATTGAAAAGAAAAAATAACTTTCTTACCATACAATGTAATGTTATTTAAAGGAATATCTGAAACCGACTAAATCATCACTGCCTGGACAGTGGCACCCCATGACATTTATTGAGAAAAGCTCTCTGGAATCCAGAGAAGGTTGCCCAATGTCACACTGCTGGTGAGCATCAGGGCCAGAACTACGATAGTCCCCCTCATGCCAGGCACTATAGTGCTATGGTCTGCCCGCCAGCCCCTGCAGGAAGAATCTGGTATTCTGTTCCCCTCTCCTATGTTTAGAGTTATAGGTCCCAGATGGGACTGGGAGCAGAGGTAGGGAGCAGCCAGAGGCAGCCTGAAAGCCTAGCCAGACTCCCAGGGCCAGGGCCAAAGCAGGATCTGTAGGGAAGGGCGGTTACAGGTCCAGGAAAGGAATATGAGCTCCATATTCCTTGGCTGGAGCAATGTCCCTACCCTGCCACCAGTGCTGCAGGTGCCAAGGAGCCCTTAATGTTGAAGGCTCTGATTAGGTAGCCAAAGAGTGTGCGGGAACAGCAAAGCTGACAGTGCAGCAACGTTTCCTATCTGGAATGAGAGGGCAGAGGCAGATGAGAGACTTAGCATCAGAACTGGAAGAGACCTTAAAGAACAGCCAGTCTAGTAGGGTCCCCAGACCATCTTCAGCAGTCTCACTTGGAAACTTCCTAGAAATACAACAAAGTCAGAAATATTGGGGGTGGGATCGAGCAATATGTGTTTTCATCCTCGAGTGAGTCAAATGTACACTTAGGTTTGGAAGCCATTGCACTAGTTTAGCTCTATGTTCAGGTGGGGAAATGGAGGCCCAGAAAGGAAAAAAAGCTAACCTAATGTCATGAAACAAGTTACTACATTACAATTCATCCCCACTGCTGGAATGCCTCTCCTCTTGGTTTCATTCTTGGGAGAGAGTCTGTTTATTGCAAAGCGAAAGTGATAGTTTGTTGGGAGATCTGGGGGAAGTCACTTCTGCTCTGGGCCTCAGTTTCTGCATCTGCACAGGGATAGGTGGGGAACAGGTAACCTCTGAGCACATAGCATACCAGTTTTTGGTAAGATTATGCTGTTGCTCTGCCAGCCTTAAGGGCACAGTCTAGCCTGGACAGGAGGTTGCAAGATCCAGATCTGGACAGCCTGGTTCAAACCCCAGCTCAGCAGCTGCTAATTGCATGACTTGGACATCTTGCTCCACCTCCCAAGCCCCCAGTTCCCTGCCTGCATCCATTCTGTAAGGCTGCTGGGAAGATGGAGCCACGTATGTGTGCTGTTAGTGCTGTCTGGCACACAGGGCGCACTTGGAAGAGGAGCTGTTCTATAGCCTGCCCGTGCAGTTCAAGGGATGGTTCACCTTCACCCAGTCACCGAATCCGCCTCCTTCCTCATGTGCAAGACTCCGTGAAAAGCAGCCTAGTTGCAGGTCATCACCTATAATCCAAAGTATTTCTGCCCTTGTAACTTTCAATCCATGCCACAAATGTGGGTGAAACTGTGGATCATGTCTCCAACTACGGCTTCTCCCAGTCGTCAGTCAGTCCTTGCCTCCATTTTAACCACTCCAGAGGGTGACAGCCTGAAATGACTGCTTCACCCTCCAGATCTCTCCAAGTATATTCTGGGTATTGGATTCAGCTCATGCAAATATGTCCTTGAAATGTGACGACCCTGTACAGCCACCTCCTCCCATCTCTGCACCCCTCACCACCACCACCACCAGTACAGATCAGTTCAGTGCCACTCACCTGCACAGGTCTCTTGCCTCCCACAGGTGGCCACCATGATTCCCTGGGTGCTCTTGGCCTGTGCCCTGCCCTGTGCTGCTGATCCGTTGCTTGGTGCCTTCACTCAAAGGGACTTCCAGAAGGGCTCCCCTCAACTCATCTGCAGCCTACCTGGTCCCCAGGGGCCACCTGGTCCCCCAGGAGCTCCAGGACCCTCAGGAATGGTGGGAAGAATGGGCTTTCCTGGCAAAGACGGCCAGGATGGTCAGGACGGAGACCGTGGGGACAGCGGAGAGGAAGGTGAGAGGACCAGCACCTGCCCCTTCTGTCCCTACCTGGGGTGACAGCTCTGGCACAGTGGGGGGTTGTGAAGTTACTAAACTAGTATTAACAAATCCAATGAATGTATCCTTAGAAGCATCAGAGGATTCAGAAAGGAACGGTGAGTATCAGATTTGTGCTCCTGGCCCTGCTGTACTTTGTTATATTGTACTAAGTGACTTTGGTGAAATATTCAGAACTCTATGGTCACAAGTGACAAAGACCTGCGGTATAGCCCCAAATGGAATTTATTGGCTCATAAGACTGGGAAGTCTAAGGTCCAAGGCTTCAGGAATGGCTGAGTCCAGGAGCTCAGATATCAGAATGAGGAGTTCTCAGGGTTTTGCTTCTCTGTGAGCTATTTTCACCCACACAAAAGCTAAGGTTCTGAAATGGCTTAATCTATAGAGTAGATCTCAGGATAACCAGTTGTCCTTGGTCGCATGTGTATCCTAGACCAATTCCTTTGATCACGGGGTTGATGTACTACCATTTGCTAGGACTGGGCCATGAGCTCCCCTTTGGGTGTGTGTGAGCAGATATCGAGGGCAGTGGATCAGCGACTCACAGCCTCATTAGGGCCCCAGGAAATGGTGAAGGGCAGTTCCCCAGTGGAAGAGATGCCGGGCAGAGAGCAAGCAGATTGGATACTCTCTCTGGGCCTTCAGCTTTGACATTTCACCCCAGCAACCAAGCCCTCTGATGTCAGCAGCATCCCCATATGTATATTTTAAGCAGCAGAAAATAGCAATTAATTTTTGGTTTTTAGGCACTTTAACATCGACAAAGCACTTTTGAGTATGTTGCTCCTCTGACCATCAATATCCTGAAGGAGGTATTCTTATCCCCAAGTTATAGATGAAACTGAGGGTGATGACATTGAGAACAGAATGTTATAGCTATAAGCACTTGAACTTTGCAAACAAACCTGGATTCTAATTTTAGTACATGACTTACCCTGTCTCCTAACCTTAGTTTCCTCATCTCTAAAATAGAGATTATAACAGCACCTACCTCCCCAGGTTGTGGTAAAAATGAGAAAAAATATGTATGAAGCACCGGGCTCTGTGTTAGGCATATAACCGATGTTGGTCACCCCTCAAGTAACCTACGGGCTCACAGCAGACTCCAAATTCAAGCCTTTTCCCACCACACCAAACTAACCTTCATTAAAACCTCTTCTCAGAAGAGTAAGTTAAAGCAATGACAATGGCATTGACTTGAGGAGGTCTTACAGTGGGACAACTGGACATTGCGGTTTCTGATTCCCTGACCACAGTGGTCGGTTCACATCAGGGCATGTGCTCCAAGCAGCGCCAGCCAGAGTTTTCTCTAAGATTTGTCTTACGGATTCCGAGGGAAA